ATTAAAATTTGTAAACATTTACAAAAAGGGATAAAACTTATAAAATAAGTTTGTAAATTTAAATTTTTTTCTAAATATTACACACATTATGGATATATAGAACATAATTTAATTATAGAATTTATTAATATCTAGACTTTATGCATTTAAGAATTAATTAATAAATTTTTTTAAAATTAACTTATCACAATTTTTCATAGAATAGGGGATTTTTGTTATACATAATATGTATGTATATCTTTCTATCTTTTTAAAAAGATTATATTGTTTAAACTCACTTCCATTTGTAGCACAACTAATTAACAAGATAACATATAAAAGCATCTGGCTAACTAATTTTAATTTGTTTATCATTATTATTCTTTTTTTGTGTTATTTTTTTTTTTAATTATTTTCTTTCGATACACGGAATATTTAATTTATCCGTAACTTTTGCTTTGCTTTATTTTCACCATTAATCTTCAAATCGAAATTATAACTGTCGGTACGTTAAATTATTACAAAAATTTTGGGTTCTTATGTTATATTTTATATACAACACGTTATTAGCTCAAGAATAACAACAAATTGTTAAAAAAAAAATATTGTATATCAGCAAAAAAAAAAGGTAACGATTGACTCAAATATGGTTAAACGACGTTTCTTATCGCGATATCTTATCACAAAACTAAATGAATATTATTCGAAAACAAAAAGTAAGTCATGAAAATTATAACGATAAAGTTGTTGCCGGTTAAGGTTTAGAAAAAAATTAATTGTGAATTTTTTCGGCAGAATTTGTTTTAAATTTTGGTAGTAAAAAATCCCCAAGTGTCAATTTTTGAGTCATAAATTTCGATTTTTTGCTACAAATAGTAAAAATGAAAGTGTGCTCACGTCTAAGAAATTGCGAGTAAAGCGAAAATACTTCAAAAAAAATATAGTGAAGATTATATTGAATTAGGAAAGAAAACAAAATGATAATGTGGCTCAAATTTACGAAAAATGCTCAATTTACCGAATATATATTATTTTTCGGATAGAAACCTTATTAGTTAAATAAAATTACTTATTCAGGCTGCTAAATTTAGTTTACTCCCAATACAAAATATTTTTCATAGAATAGTTTGGTAAAATTGTATTCCCCTAGATCCTATTAGATCGGTTTAAGGGTCTACAGCCGATTTTGGTTTTTCATATAAAAATCGATATTTTGTGGAAATATGAGTGATGACAGATATGCTTTATTTTGCCAATTGGAGAGGTATTTAAGTGGCCTCCGGTTGGTTAGTGTTCTAGTCTGGTAGACCGGAGGTGGTGAGTTCGATTCCCACCTGAGGCACTGGTTAAGGAACGCACAACAGGCCCGTTAGAGGCCTCGGTGTATTTCTTCGGATTTGATGTATATACATCCTCCTTTCAAACTAACTAACTAAGGACCTATAGTCGATTTTATGTTTTTCATATAAAAATCGATTTTTTATGAAGAGTATGAGTGATCAAAAATTTTCCTTATGTTGTCGATTGAAACGTTATTTAAGGATCTACAGCCGATTTTGCATTTATCATATAAAAAAACCATTTTTGTTAAAAAAATATATGAAAAATGTTTTCACTAGTTTTATAACCATTACATCTGTAACACATCGAAATATTGGTCATAGGCTCACAAAGGTATGTTATGGGTCCTTAGTAAATTCTAAGACGATCTAGCTCTGCCCGTCCGTCTGTCTGTTGAAAGCACGATAGAGTCCGAACGGGAAGAGCTAGAGGGTTGAAATGTAAGGTTTGCTAGGTATTGAAAATGGGCAATATCGATCCACGTTTTCGGATAGCCCCCATATAAACCAGCATTAAGGGGCTGTAACTGTTTTTAAAGTACAAGTATAGCGATGAAATTCGACATAAATAAGTTTCATATGAAAATCTCTCTGCCAAATTTTATGAGGATCGGTCCATAATTGATCCTATCCCCCATATAAGTTCCTCTTCAGAAAATGACTATAACGCTCATTACTGGTTTAAAAATACGAACATAGCGATAACATTTTACATAAGTAAGTTTCTTACGAGTCAAAACCTCTCTACTGACTTAATGAGAATCAGTCCACAATTGTCCATACCCCCCTAAAATGTCCCCTTCAGAAATTACTTCAACGCTCATTACTGGCTTAAAATACTCCCTACCTCTCTCAGAAAATGACTATAACGCTCATTATTGGTTTAAAAATACAAACATAGTGATAACATTTTACATAAGTAAATTTCTTAGGAGTCAAAACCTATTTACTGACTTAATGAGAATCGGTCCATAATTGTCCATACCTCCATAAAAGGCCCCCTTCAGAAATTACTTCAACACTCATTACTGGCTTAAAAATGAAATTCGACACATGTTTGTTCCGAGCCAAAAACTCGACCCATTTTATGTGGTTCGGTTCATAATTGACCCTACCCCTAGTATAAGGGGGTTAAAAGTGCGAGATGAACTTCGAAACACAATCATTCTATAAAATTTGATAACAATCGGTCCATAATTGACCCTATTGCCCATATATGTATATGTTCACGGTTTCAAAATTTAACAAAAATATTTTGTTTTTAAAAATAAATATCCTGTTAATTCCAAAAGAACTCGGTCCATAATTGACATAAGCTATATTTAATTTCACAAAATCACATATGATATTTATAGGAGAGCATTCCTTTTACGGCATACTGTTTGATGGTGGGTATATGAGATTCGGTACAGCCAAATATATCACACGCACTTGTTCAAAATCTACAGATGTAATCACATATTTTTACCATTTTCTTAGTTGTAGCCCTATTTATGGATAATTTTTTATTATTTTACTTCATTACTTATTCGGTAAAATATTTCCTTAACATTAACATAACTAAAGGCATAACAAAACTTAAAAACATCGACACATTTCGATTCGCTCCATCACCACCATCATAGTCATAATAACGATAATAACTATAATTAAAAGAATTATTATTTGTAACAATCCAATTATTATAGTATGAAACATTCGTATAAACACCCGGATAACCAGGTTGAGCACAGCCTTGACCCCAGGAAACAATACCAACTAGGACACCGTTACAAACTAAAGGACCACCAGAATCACCCTGACAGGCATCGACACCACCGGTTTGCATGTAACCAGCACATAACATGCCCATCGAAAGATTACCATAATTCGTATCACAAGTGGTGTAATTTACAATGGGTACAGTGGCTTCCATTAAGACATCTGATATATAGCTCTGTAAGAGAAGTGAAACATTATTAGTGCCTAAAAGTTAGGAATGTTAACTCACATAACCCGTTGAACCCCAACCCGATACTGTACATATGGTGCCACTTGGCTCGGGTTGTGTATTTAACGGTATAGCCATTACTGTTGGCCAATTCCATGGTATATAACCATTAAATAGAAATAGTGCCACATCGTTGACCAAAGTATTAATATCGAAGTCGGCATTGACAATTATTTGCAAGACAGCGTATTGTAGCGTATAATAAGTCGTTGTGGTTAAATATGTCGAACCCATGACCAAGGTAAACTCACTCGGTGTACGATAAACTATTGGTGTATATTGTTCGCTGGAAAGTAATAAAAACAAACAATTAATTATTAAAAATAAATTTATATGCTATTTTTGAACTCATTCGATAACGATTGAAATCTATTGGGAGAACATCATGATGGAGAAATTCTGAGGCCAAATTTGGAATCAGCACAGAACAATCCATTAGAAAAGTATTTTAACTTACTTTGCTACACAATGAGCCGCGGTGACCACTACACGTTGCGAAATGACGGAACCACCACATATATGACCCGAACCATACATTTGATCTTCTAATGCTATAAGACGCACCGAAACCTGCCATGGTGCATCCTGTATTGATATTGCCTGACCACCTATAATACGTGGATCTATTTCCGATTTTGAAAATAGTTTATTTGCTAGAAGAAACAACATGCATTCAAATAAATACTTTTAAGTTGGAAAATTTAGATTTTGAAAAAATATTGGACTCAAACTAAACCAGTAGGACTGTTATAGTGTTGACAATAAACTGATTTTCTTACGCTTTTATAAGCGTTAAATTTTCCATAGGCGATTTTAAGGGCCAAATATGGCCCGAAGTCCAATTGCTCCATAATTAACATAGTATTTATGAGTATTAAAGTAGTATTCCAGGTGTCACTTATATGGGGTATATTGCCTTATTTCAATACCAAACAAACTTTATCTATAGAAAATGTTTGTGGAAATTGTCAGCCCTATTATTGCTCCGTTTGGATCCAATAAAATATAATAATGACCCAGACAGAATCTATATACGAATCATTTTAATAATACCACTTACAATTTGCCGCAACTTTTGTCACAAATATTAAACAAAATAAATTAATAATTACACATTTTACACTTAATTTAGATTTCATTTTTAAATTAATTTATTGTAAACTTTTGTGTTTCAACAAACATGGATTTTTCTTTTCTTTCGGTTATAACTTTATCAAATGCCTATAGAATTTTTAATGAATAACAAATTTCAAAACAAATATTTTGACCGTATAATTGACTTACTTTTACATTATGTACAAAAAAGTATTTAATATAATTTCTACATCATATGATAAGTTTTGTTTATATCTTATCAATATTATGATATAAACAACAACAAATTGTTTATATCGTTAAGTAAGGATTAAATGAATTAATTAGTGTGTGTTTAATGAGAAAAATTTAAATCAAAACTAAACTTTTAGGGGAATTTTTTTGTTGGATTTGTTATTTGAGTTCATAAATTGATTTCCTTTTTTTTGCAATAAAATACAAAATGTGAGAGAAATGTGTCATAGGGTAACAATTTAAAACAAAAATTGTTGCTGTAAGAACTAGTTAGAAACAAATTTTAGTAAGTCGAGTGAACTAATCTTAAATTTAAACATAAACCATTGGTCTCTACGTTAAATAGAAAAAAGTACTAGAAATTTTTATTTTAGACTGCTCAGAGTCTAGTATTTATTATATACAAAGTATAAAAAATCTTAAAACTAAATAATATAGGTACATATACATATGAAGTTTTACATGGCTATTAAGAAAGTTAAATTTCAATACAGCAAAGTATATTGTAAATCTTTGATAACATTTGTCAAAATAACAAATTAAGAAAATATAAATACATAAACGAACACTTTAGTACATGCTTTATACAATATATTAAAATAGGAAACACGGAAAATAATTTTACAAATTTGTAAGAATATTTACAAAATAGAAAATTAATTTTTTATCTGCATTATAATATAACCAAAAGATAAACTATTATTCGGTTTTAAAGAAAATTTTAATATAAAAGAAATGTAACAAAATTAAAATAAATTTTTTTTATAAAAAAACTTTAAAATAAAAAATAATATTGCAATAACTATTTTAAATCTGTTACAGAATCACTCATAATTAACTGAGAAATTAAACCAGAAGACTATAAATTTATATATTTTTTAAAATTTAATTAATAATTATCTCTTTAAATTTTCCTTTAATCCAATTAAAAACCTATGTTAAGCTTTACACATACGTTGTTTTAAATCCGCCAGACGCATTGCTTCCAAACTTTCCAATTCTTTTTTAATATTACTCAATTGTGAGGATAGTTCATCCATAACAACCACTGAAGGTGAATGGCTGAGATTTTTGCTTCTACCAGGTGAACTTATTTCAATTACTGATGTTTCAACCACAGGTGTTTCATTACGCGAACTACTACGATTGCCTTTTAATGGCAACATAGATTTTTTATTTTCTATTACTTTTCTTAATTCCTTTAAAGGTTTATCATCTTCCGTATCTGTTGAAAAGTCAAAAACATTTGAACTTTCGGAGGATTTCTCGTCCAATTTAGCTTGACAATTGTTGTATGAAAGATTTGAAGCTTTTTTGGTATCTTTAACATTATTATTTTCCGATTTCTTTATACTATCTTCTTTAAAGGTATTTGTATTGCAAGGTTTTGTTTGATTAACCACATCTCTTGTAAGTTTTCTTTCTCTAAGTTTTGCCAAATTATCATCATTTTCGGAATCTGTTTTATCTTCACTAGATATATATTGCCATTTCTGTTTTGTGGGTATACATCTAGTACTTTTACGTGGTGTGGTAGTTTTATTGCTTTTAGTTTCTGTTACTTCTTTGGTTAGTGTTGGGTGTTGTTGTTCTACAGGGTTTGTTTCAGTTTCTTCCGGGCTTTGACTATTGCCGGTACTGGGAGTTTGACTTTGACTACTTTCGTATTCTAAACCCTGTCTACGTATTTTTAAATGTTTTTCCAAATGTTGCAGTTTTAGCTCTTTAGCTTTACGTTTTCTGCAAATAGTCATAATATTCAATATATTAATGATATGTAATGTATATGAGCCGCTCGCTTACCTTTCTCTCGGACTCATTTTTGTTGCATTTGTATTTGGTCCTTCATTTACTTTTTCTTCTGGTTTAATATTCTTTTCAGTTTTATTAACATTTACATTTGAGTTTATTCCATCAGGTACATCTTTAGAATCGTTTTCTTTTACATATTTTGCCAATTCTTTAAAATCAATAGCAATTTTATTGCAGTCATCGTATTTTTATTAAAATCATCGAAAATCAAGGTTGGAGTCAGAGGGCGGAAGTGAAAGGGGAAGAAGGAAAAGGGGAAGGAAGACAGGAGAGAGGGCAAGGGAGGCCGGGAGGAAGAACAGGGAAAAACAAGGGGGGAGCGCAGGCGAAAAAGGGAAGAAGGCGAGAGGAGCGAGCGAGGAGCGAGCGAGCGAGCGAGCGAGAGAGCGAGCGAGCGAGCGAGCGAGCGAGAGCGAAGCGAGCGAGCGAGAGAGCGAGCGAGCGAGCGAGCGAGCGAGCGAGCGAGCGAGCGAGCGAGCGAGCGAGCGAGCGAGCGAGCAGCGAGCGAGCGAGCGAGGAGCGAGCGGAGCGAGCGAGCGAGGAGCGAGCGAGCGAGCGAGCGAGCGAGCGAGCGAGCGAGCGAGCGAGCGAGAGGAGCGAGCGAGCGAGCGAGCGAGAGCGAGCGAGCGAGGAGCGAGCAGCGAGCAGCGGGCGAGCGAGAGAGCGAGAGAGCGAGCGAGCGAGCGAGCGAGAGCGAGCGAGCGAGCGAGCGAGCGAGCGAGCGAGAGCAGCGAGCGAGGAGCGAGCGAGCGAGCGAGCGAGCGAGCGAGCGAGCGAGCGAGCGAGCGGGCGAGCGAGAGAGCGAGCGAGCGAGCGAGCGAGCGAGCGAGCGAGCGAGCGAGCAGCGAGCGAGCGAGCGAGCGAGCGAGCGAGCGAGAGCGAGCGAGAGCGAGCGAGGAGAGGAGCGAGCGAGCGAGCGAGCGAGAGCGAGCGAGCGAGCGAGCGAGCGAGCGAGCGAGCGAGCGAGCGAGCGAGCGAGCGAGCGAGCGAGCGAGCGAGAGAGCGAGCGAGCGAGCGAGCGAGCGAGCGAGCGAGCGAGCGAGCGAGCGAGCGAGCTATCAGCGATATAATCTAATCTATCTAGCTATCTATCTATCATCACTATATCTATCTATCTATCTATCTATCTATTGTATTGTATTGTATTCAAAAGGTATTGTATTTATATAAAACACTTACTTCTATTTAAAGGTCCTTTTTCCAAGCGATACTGTTGCAACTCCAATTCTTTTTTGCGTAGACTCTCTGTTAAAATTTCAACCTGTTGATGACAACCCAACATTGCCATCAATAGAGGTTGGACAAATGTTTGCTGGAACTGAAAAGTAATTATTTTTAATTTGTATTAAAAACTTTCATTTAGATTTACATCTTTAACAGTATAGTTTCATTCTGAAACATGTTGATTCTTTATAACATTTCATGTTATTTAAGTATCGTTGATGTTTAAAAACGCAAATGTCTTTAAAAACTTAATATAAAATGATTACCTCTTTAACAGTTTGTTTCCTCAAGTCCCATTCATAATTTAAAAAACAATTCTTAACACGACATTTCAGCTTCAATAAACAACTGTCCACATGCATACCACTTGTCTGCGGCTGATCTTCTATGACAGCAGTGTGGGGAGCATCACTTGTGAGGGCTTCTTTAATATTATCCTCATTAAAGTCAAAGCGTTTATTTAGCAGCTTTACACGCCAAACAAATTAAAGTTTTATAAATATAATAAATTCAGAAGGACAACAAATTACAAGACTTACCTTAACTTTTCGTTTAACATCCTCTAATTTCAACGTTTGACTCCAAGCTTCTTTTAAATCATATAAAATAAATATGACCTGTTGTGTGTTTGTATTAAAATCACAGTATATAAAATATGATTTTTGAGATATTTCTACAAGTTTCCACATTTTTAATTGTAATTCCTTTTACACCAACTGTCAACAAAACACACAAATGATTTCAAAATAATAAGAAACATGTTGAAGAAAAAATAATAAATTACAAAAACATCTGCGACTAGCACAGGGTAGTTTTAAATAGTTATATGTGATATAAATAAAAGCAATTATTTGTGAAACACTTTTTTTAATTTAATTATTCTTTTACTTTTACAGATAATGCTATTCCTGAGAAAATCCTACATCCATAAATGCTGTAATATATCCTGTTTATTAAAATTTATAAGACATATTTCAATAAATGATTATATTTTTAACAAAATAAACTAAGTTATTATTGTTATTTAACAGGGTGGTCTGTAAAGTTTGTTAATAAAAAGCCGAAAACTTGGCAGCACTGTTCATGTGTGTTGAAAGCGCCATCTATTGTTTAAAAATAAGTCATGATCAAAAACAAGAAATCGATGTGGCAACATTTGTGCCATTTTGGTAGGCCACAAACGAAGTCTGGCAACTCCGTTTTAGTATTTCGTCAATTTTTCACAGAGTTGCCAGATCATTTTCCATAATGGCCTACCAAAATTACAAGAATGTTGCCACATCGATTTTTTGATTTTGACCATGACTTATTTTTAAACAATAGATGGCGCTTTCAACACACCATGACAGTGCTGCCAAGTTTTCCGGTTATTAAAACAAATTTAACGGCATTTCAGGGTAATTTGAAATTATATTTTAACAAAAAAATATATTTAATTAATAAATTATAACAATAATTAAATTTTTATTTTAAATTAAGTAGATTGTATTGAAATATATATATTAATAACCTAACAACTTTGAAATTAATCAGATTGACATACATTATGACGATTATCTGAAAAAAAATATTTTTATTAGTTAGTACATACTTTTTTAATTACAACTACGGTTGACGCCTTGCATTTTAATGCTGATTTATCAAGCGAAATTTTTAGAAAATTTGTGTGTCGTCTGAAAATAGTTTTTATAAGATAAAAAAATTATTGATAACATTTTATAATTTATAAATCGTTCATTTACTCCAATACAGTCATAATCTAATAATCATTTCGAGAAAAATGGCTTGAAAGTTTAATTTATTTTTACTATTTTTTTTTTTTTAATATCTGTAAAACTAATCAAGGGATTTGAAAAATAACACCAGAACAATTTAATACGTTTCTAATCTGAATTGAAATTATTTTTTTATTCATACTATTATTATGTATTAGTTAAACATGAGTTTTAGTTTTTATGTTTACAACAAAAAAAACATATAAATAAAGCCTTTAGTATATATAACACGTGTTTTGTAACAGTCTGTTCAAAAACCCCTAATTATGGATTATGACAGTCTTGTAGTAAAGGAGCGATATGCAAATAAATATGTACTTAAAAATAGTTAATTACTTTGGTTAAGTAGCAAACTAAGATTCTCCCAATTATAACTAAAATAACAAAAAGTTTTTAAAATTTTTAAAAATATATGATAATAATTAGAAACTCGTTATGCAATATGAAACCAAATTTTGTTTCATACAGCTTTATTTTTTAAAACAAGAAGTAAATGTCGACTATGTCATAGCTATTCCTCTCCTTGATTATTATTTTAAATTATTAAAGGATAAAAAATTTAAACATCTTTATGCTACTTTTTTATATACATAAAATTTCCCACATTTTTGAGTTATAGGACTGGACAATGTCAACTATAGCTATCAGTAGTACAAGATAGCTTGCTTATAAGGACGAAAAACTTCTTAACATAAAACTATTAAAAAACTAAAATATTGTCTTGTTAATATATTCCATACATGGGAGTAGTTAATTATATCGAGTAATTAATTGACGATTTCATTAGCATTAAATTGAAAAAAATTATAATTATTTTTTTTTCATTAGCATTATTTTGTCTAATGGTAATGGTTTTTAATGAAACGATTTCATTAGTAATTATTTAAAAATAAATTTTCATTACCATTATTCAATGGATTTTAAAAATTTTCGAACATTAGTTCGAATTTCGAAATTAATTTCGAATATCCGAACATTATAATGTATTGTCGGTAGGTGAAATCATGTATGCCAAATTTCAGCACATTCGGACTAGAAGAACAGCTTTAAAATTTTTTCGAACACGAGTTCGAATTTTCGAAATTTTTTTTTTTAGGTTTTATGACACAGAGATTAATTTAAAAACATAAAACATTTTTCGAAAATAACTTCGAATTTTCGAACTTAATTTCGAATATTCGAACATATTATTGTATTGTCATCAGATGTACTTATGACTGCAAAATTTCAGCCAATTTGGGCTACGGGAACTGGTTTTAAAAGCTTTCAAACCTCGAATCTTCGAAAAATTTTCCTGAATATATTTTTCGACAATTTTAAATACTAATTAAATTCGTTTTTTAAAATTCATTATTAAATTCATTACCATTATCAAAAAAAGTTATAATGAAAAAAATATAATTTTCATTAAATGGTACTTAAAATATTTTTCATTACAATTTTTTCTATAAATGGTAATGAAATTTTAATGCTTAATGAAAAATTCCCATGTATGATATATTCCTATAATTATGGTTATACGCCCTTTTTGTTGTCCATGTTGAAATATGTTTTTGCAATCTAATAAAGGAATTCATAGAATTGATATTAAACTTTAATAATTAAAGAAATAAAAATGAAATATTAGGGGTTTTCATTTAAACGTTCAAAACCCTCGTAAACTGTGCAACCTGTGCATGTTTCCATTCTCGCAATTGAATTGTATGAAAAGTGATTTGCACAACCCTTATAAGTTTGAGCGACTATTTAGACTGGCAAACTTGAGCAAACTCATTGTGCATTTAATAAATCTGTTCACTATTGTTCACTTTTGAATTTAATGACCTGAATATTCACGATTTAACATATTTTGTACAATTTTTTGTTAAAATAATTTATTTTTTATTTCGTTTGACATTGCTGTAAAATGTTTATAAATATTGTAATTGGGCAGAATTTGAACAGGGGCTTCATGAAACAAGTCGAATAAACTTGCCCACTTGCACAAATGGGAAACTTAAGCGTTTAAATGAAAACCCTTATTGTTTTAAAAGTTGTTCAAATATACATATAAAAGTAATTTTTTTTCTAAATTTGCGTTAGGTCAGGTATACGGGTTGGCGGAACATAAAATATTGCGAATACTGACGTAATAAATATTGAACGTGTATCATATCATCAATCCATTAAAATGAGTCGTGATTCAAATTGATCAATACATATTAAACGTATAAGAACACTGGTATACTGGTCGGCGGATGATTAAATGAATGCCGCGAAAATCCCGAACTAACATAACACAAATTTAGAAACGGTAATTTTCTTTTATATTTTGAACAACTTTTAAAACTATTAATCATTTTTATTTGTTTTATTTTTTCAAATTTTACAAATGGATTGCGAAGAATGAACCAAGTTTTCATTTTCAGTGGGAACCGTTTTTCTCCATACAAACAACAAGTGTTGTTCTAAGGCAATTATTTCCCTATGTCTATTCCCATGGTACTTTTCGGTCCTAGAATCACAAGTATATTTTGTGTCTGAGAAACAAGAGCACAAATTTGGCAGTAAATAAAGTTTTATTGCTATTAAAAATAGTCTATATCAGTCTTCCAAAAAATTTAGAACGAAATTAATGTTCATTTTGAAAAGTACAAAATATGCTACCCCAAAAAATTGCTTCCCTTAATACGGAGATATGGAGGTCTGCTATTAAATAATTGTTTTCAATAACTTTTTTAAATTTTGGAATAGGTACTTACAATTTTTTGTTATGACCATGTCCATGATTTATACTTATCAGTTCAGATTTTAGCCATTTAGGAACGCAAACAAGTTTCATAAAATTATACCACCATATTTAAAAAACACACAAACAAACAAAAAACAATAAATTAATGTTATTTCTTGAACTATATAAATGTTTATAAATTTAATATGAAATTGTTTATGTTATGTTTAAAATTATTTAGTTGTAGAATCAGAGCCCTGCGCCGACAAATATTAACGGCGGCGGCGACTGACTCTAAATATGTCGGCGGCGGCTTAAAATCGACTGTAAGCCGGCTAAGTTTTCAACTACGTTTAGTTTTTAATTTTTCAACGATTTTAAATAAAAACGGAATCCGAGAGATCAGAAAGTAGGATTTTGGAAGCAAATATACTGTTTATAACAACAAAACAGAGCAAACTCAAAAGTTGCATGAGAAATTATGCAGGGATGAATAAAAAATTCTTAAAAATTAAAAACAAATCCTTTCTCCAAGTTTTACTAGGATCTGCCGATATTTAACCCTATCTTCCATATAAAACATCTTGCAGAAAATCAGTTTCTAAAAAATTTTGCATTAAGAAAATGATCAATAACGTAAAAACAAAGATATTTTATTTGTTTATTTACTAGCTATACCCAGTGTGCTGTGCTACCCTAAAAGCAATATAAATAAGAAGCCTACTTAACAATTTTGATGATTCTAACTACAATGGTTTTCCAGATATACAATTTGTTACATATGGGAGATTCCACGCAAATTATTGCAATTTCGCCAATTATTCCGAACGTTAATTAAGATTTTAATTTAATCTATGAAAAATTTGAATAATCTAATAGTTTCCAGATATACAAAATTTTGTATTTAATTCATATGGGAAGTGCCAAGCCCCCCATTGAAAGTCCGCCCGTTATTCTCTAAATGTTCTTCAGTAAAATTTGAAGATTCTAGCTCTAATAGTTTCTCAGATATACGAATTTTTCTATTTAATTCATATGGGAGCTCCAAGCCCCCAGATGAAAGTCCGCCCTTTTTTCTCCAAAATGTTCAGATGAATATTAAAGTTGTTCGTGCAAAATTTGAAGAATTTAGTTATATTAGTTTCCCAGATAAACGAATTTTTGTATTTAATTCATATGGGAGGTTCCGCTCGCCTCATTGGTAGTCCCCCAGTTTATTACCCAAAATGTTTACATGGATGTTAAAGTTCTTCCAGAACAACATCATTTAAAGGGATCACAAAGAGATTGAAAAATATTCCAAACGTTTCACTT